TATCCACGACGCTGTCGCAAAGCCTAGCAGGCGTGGCACTTTCTGGACACCATAGGGCTCTCTCAGCGCGGCCGCTATTCACGCCATTGTCGCACAGCCTAGCAGGCGCGACACTTTATGGATACCGCAAGGGTGTGCGCAGGGGGGGTCTCTCAGCGCGGCCGCTATCCACGACACTGTCGCACGCGGTCGCTATCCACGACGCTGCCGCAAAGCCTAGCAGGCGCGGCACATTCTGGACACCATAGGGGGTGCGCAGGGGGTGGTCTCTCAGCGCGGCCGCTATCCACGACACTGTCGCAAAGCCCCGCAGGCGTGGCAAATTCCTGGACGCCATATGTTGGTGCGCAGGGGGTGGTCTCTCAGCGCGGCCGCTATCCACGACGCGGTCGCAAAGCTTAGCAGGTGTGGCAAATTTCTGGACACCATATGGGGTGCGCAGGGGGTGGTCTCTCAGCGCGGCCGCTATCCACGCCGCCGCCGCAAAGCCTAGCAAGCGTGGTACTTTCTGGACGCCACAAGGGGTGCGCTAGGGGTGCGGCCGATATCCGTTTCGGGCTCGCAGCGCGTGGCGAGCGCGGCACTTTCTCGATGCGACAGGGGGTGCGCTGGGGGTGCGGTCGCTATCCGTTACGGCCTCGCAAAGCGTGGCAGGCGTGACACTTCCTCGACGCCACAGGGGGTGCGCTGGGGGTGCGGTCGTTATCCGCTTCGGGTTCGCAACATGTGGCAGGCGTGGCACTTGCTCGATGCCACAGGGGGTGCGCTGGGGGCGCGGTCGCTATCCGTTTCGGGCTCGCAAAGCGTGGCAGGCATGGCACTTGCTCGACGCCACAGGGGGCGCGGTCGCTATCCGTTTCTGCTTCGCAAAGCGCGGCAGGCGCGGCAACTTCTCGACGCCGATGGGGGTGCGCTGGGGGTGCGGTCGATATCCGTTTCGGGTCCGCAAAGCGTGCCAATCGTGACACTTCCTCGACGCAGCGGGGGGTGCGCTGGCGTGGCAGGCGTTGCACTTCCTCGACGCCGCAAGGGGTGCCTTGGGGGCGCGATCGCTATCCTTCTCGGGCTCGCAAAGTGTGGCGGGCGCGGCGCTTCTCCCCTCCACTCTCCTCCTTCCTTTCCTCTCCACTGGCGTCGCCAACGGTATCGGCGGGGCCGCCAACGTCATTCTCGCATGCTTCACTTCAGCTCTCATCACCCCAGCCATAATACAAGTATGCGGGGTTCCTCGGTAGCGTAATTGAAGGATCCAGGCACGCGCGCGCGACGACGCGCGCGCGTGCACTTCGCCCCATGTGTTGCAGCTGAGACTTGAAAACTGATGATATTTCATAACGCGCATAAAGGATGTCGCAGAGGACGAGGGGGGGCCGATGCCGGCCAGCCCGGGATGGTGCGAGCTCGCAATTAGGATGGGCGATGGGGCAGGGTCAAACGTAAATTCCTCACGAAAAGGCGCGCCGTTAACCCCCAGGGGGGATCCGAATGCTCCTCGAAAAATCTACGCGTGCTATATTTGTCGCACACTTCACGTCGCGCAATCTACGCGGCGCAGTTTACGCGGCGCAATTGACTATGGCTTCCACGCGCGAGACCTCCTTCCACGCTCGCGCAAATAATCCCGCCCGCCCACACGCCAATCGTTTGCAAACCCCATGCGGCGGCGATTGCAACGGCAGCTCGGCGCCGGCCGGCGCTTGGCCGCGGCCGCGCTAGCGCGCGCATGCACGCGCGCGGAGCGGCCGGCTAGTCCGGCGCGACGGACGCGTCCGCGGCGCTGGCCGTCGTGAACTCCCCAACGCGTCTCGCAGGGAGCGCCGACGCGCGGGCGCATCAGTGCGAGTCGGCGACTCGGACGGGCGCGGTGTCATGGGACCGTTGCCACCGGCAGACGCGACGAACGACGACGGCAGGATATATGACGGCGACGATGCCGATCTCGCCGACGGTGATCATGGCGCCCCCGCGTCAGCGATGTAGCTTCCGGCCGGATTTCGACGCGCGCGGGGTCGACGAGCGCGGGCATCGCGCGCCACGTTAATCGACGTGGACCGGGCCCCCTTAGCACGCGCGCAAAGGCGTCCGAACGATGTCGACGCGCGCGCGGGAGGGGCGCGCTCGCTCGCATTTCACGAGAGCGTTGGAACACCTCCAGGTATCTTCAGAATTCGCAACAAGGGCGCGAGCACAGGCTTGTTGTCTTTTCGAAAACTCTCGCAACAAAACCAACGGCCCTGTTTTCGCGCCGGCTGTTTCTCGGAGAACTCGACTTTGATATCCTCAAACAACCTCAGGTTATCGACGGATTCGGGCACGTGCGCGCGACGACGCGCGCGCGCTCCGCCCAATCTTGCGCGCGGGTTTCTCGCGACAGCACTCGCGCGGGAGTTTCGCATCATTTTGGCGCGCGCACGGGCCCGGCCGCGGCATCGAGCAGAGCCTGGCGAGGGAGCGTCTGGAGGGCATGCAGAGGTGGCCCGAGGGCGCGCCGCCCGTGCCC